CAAAAACGAGCAACACAACGGAGCAACAACGAAAACGAAAACGAAAAACAAAAACGAAGGTAATTAAAAACCAAGCTAAGCAGCGCTGTGGTCGGTCCTTGCACGAAGCAGCTCGCGGGGGCGGGCCCTGCGAGGAACAGGCCCTGGACCCCGGGGGCCCTCTCCCCGTGCCGCGCCGCTCCTGCTGCAGCTCCCAGGGGCCCCGGGGAAGGCCCCCAAGGGGCCGGGGACGGCCAGACGAGCCTAAAGCCTGCTTCGCACGCGACGCGCCCGCTCCCTGGGCCCTCGCAGCCTCACCCGCGCGGCCGCTCGGGACGGCCCGGGCAGCCCTGGAGGCGCGCTCGGCGAGGCGCGGCTGCCAGAGCGCGGTCCGAGGCAGGCAGGCCTCCGAGAGGCGGCCCTCAGCCCGAAAAAAACCCTCGGAGACCTGGTGGGGCCGCGCTTTCCTGGCGCGCCGGGCGGGGGGGGCTCTCATCACCGCAGTCCCCCAGATAGATACAAAGTGCTCCTCTGCTTCACCACAAATAAAGAAACTAAAAAAAAAACAATAGAAAAGTTAAAAAAACTACAAAAAAAAAAAAATAAAATAAAAAAATTAACGAAGAAAAGAACAAACCAAAAAAAACCAAAAAAAAAAAAAATCAAAAGGAAAAAAAAAAAAAAAGATATAAAAAAAAAAAAGAATTAAACAAAAGAAATAAAAACAAAGAAAAACAAAAAAGACTAAAACAAAAGAAATAAACAATAAAAAAAAGAAAGAACCAAAAACAGAAGAAAAGTCAAAAAATAAAAAGACAAAAAAGAAAAAAAAAATAAAAATAAGAATAGAAACAAAAAAGAAAAAAAAAAGACAAAAGAAGAAAAAAAACAGAAGAACAAAAAAAAAAAAACAAAGCCAAAAACAAAAATGCAATACATAAAAGAAAAAAAAATAAAAGAAAGGACAAGCGGATCGTGTCTTATTTATTTAATCGCTTCGCTCATTCCGCCGGCCCTGGAGCGCTATTTGGGGCCTCTTGGGGCCGTCTTGGGGGCTTCTTGGGGGCTTCTTGGGAGCGTCTTGGGGCTCCTTGGCGGCGTATTGGGCTCCCCTGGGGCCTCTTGGGGGGCTCTTGGGGGGCCCTTGGGACGGGAGGGGGGGTAGTCGTTGGCAGCCCCCCCCTCGGAGGCCACGATCCTCGTGAGGGGTGACGAAAAATAGCCTCCCCCCTGGGGATCGCCCAGGGATCAGCCGGGGATCGGCCGGGGTACTTTTCGTCCGGGCCCCCCAGGGGCCGCCCCGCGCGGGCGAACTAGAAATATTGTTAAGTAGTTACCGGAGATCTTAGCACGCCTCTGGCCCGTTGGGCCGGCGAATTTGTCCTCCTCCTCCTCCTCCTCCTCCTCCTCCTCCTCCTCCTCCTCCTCCTCCTCCTCCTCCTCCTCCTCCTCCTCCTCCTCCGCAACCTCCTCCTCCGCCTCCTCCTCCTCCGCCTCCTCCTCCTCCTCCGCCTCCCTTCGGCGAGCACGGAGGGAGGAGTCGGTCTCACAACTCGGGCCGGCAGAGCTTCCTTTTTTGCTCCTGCTGCGCAGGCGGAGGGGAGCCGTCGGCCGTCCCGCAGACCTCCTCGAACCTCGGCTCCGCCGCTCGGCGACACGCGCGCCGGGGGGGCGGGGGGCAGACGCCGGGGGGGGCGGCCTTCGAGTGGGCGGCACCCGTGGGCGTCTCGGCGGCGAGCCAGGGGGGGAAGCGAAGAGGGGCGGGCCTCCTCAGAGGGCTCGGAGGTCCCCCGGCCTCCTCCCGAGAGGGGCTCGAAGCCTTCCCCGAAGACGCCCAGAAGGAACCTCTCCGAAGGCCCGAGGGCTTCGGAGAAGTCCTGCCGCCTTCCGAGAAGGCAGCCTCCTGCTCGCGTACCCCCCCCCCCTCGCTCGCCGCCGGGCGCCTCGGAGGCCGAAGGCTGCCACGGGGCAGCGCTGCAGTGGCCCCCCGCGCGGGCGCGGCCCCACCCGAACACCTCGAGAGCAGGGGGAGAGACGAGGGGCGCGGGCGCACCTTCCCCCCTTCCCCGCTCGTGCCGAGGGGGCCCTGCTGAACCCGACCCTGCCGCCGCCCCGAGAACCTGCACTGAGACGAAGAGAAGTTCGGACGAGGATATGGTCGGGTGAGGTCAGGGAAGCTAAGACGAGGATTAAATCGGGTGAGGATAAATCGGAAATTTCTGAGATTCGGCGCATCTGGAGGAGGTCTCGAGCGCCGCGGCCTTCTCGGATCCAGAACGGATTTACCCTCGTCCCAGCCCAGCCGCAGCTGCGTCTCGACCGTCCACGGGGGCCCGGCGATGGCCCCCTCTGAGAGGGGCGGGGCTCGCTCCAGCCGCGTGCAGGAGTGGAAGAGGGGGGAGGAGAGGGCGGCCGCGGAGGCAGGGGCGGGACGCAGGGGCACTCTCCTCACGCGGCGGGGCCGCGGGGATCGAGGAGGAACACAAGACAGAGACTTTTTTGATCGGCAGGGCGAGAGCGAACCTCTTCCGCTGAAAGCTAGGCGGGCTACGCACAGCTCTAATTATTAGAGACAGGGCAAAGAAGGGCGGGGCCTCAGGCGGCCAGGAGAATGGAGCCCGGGGATCAGGCCGTGCCGAAGCGGATGTGCAGGAAAAGGTACGCCTTGGACAGGAGCCACAAGACAGAGACAGGAACTCTCGGACGCCGCGCGGACTTCCTGGATCGGGGCTGTGCCCCCCTCCCTGGCGCGCGGAGCGCGGCGAATCCGCAACGGCCGCCTGGGGGGGGGGGAGTGGGGCAGCGCCGACCAAAGAAGTCGGCGAGGAGCTACGAAAGCGTACGCTTGTGCAGTTGTTGAGTGTTCTTCTCGGAGGGGCCGCCCAATCCGTTGGCTTGCGGGTCATTCGCTCGGGTCCCCGGCGGCCGTCCGGGACGGGTCGGGCACCCCGCGGGACGCTCTCGGCGAAGCGAACCTGCTGGAAGGCATCCCGAGGCTGGAAGACCGCGGAGAACCCGCTGAAACGCCCCAAATAAAACCTGACAGC